CATTATTTTATGGTACGCTCAAGGTCATACATAAGTGATGACACTGAGACTAAGTGAGAGATCAGAGTACTTAACAATGCTCTATCTCTCAGTACATAAGAAAACAAAGAAAAGAGAAAATCTAAATTCAATATTCAGAATACAGTATTGAATTCCAACTTGTTTTCAATTTGATATCGCAACGCATATCACATGGCGCAGCCAGCAGGATTCGCAGCTCAAGACAACAGAACGGATATGGGAATCCCGGTATTTTGGGCATCAGCGAATCTAGACCCTCCGTGGCAATTTAAAATCTGGTTCGAACAATTTCTCATGGCGGTTACGGTCAAAGAAAATGTGAACCCAGAGATTATTTTGGAAGAACCAAAAGACATATTAGAGGAACCACCACCACGCCCGGAAACGCCCAGGGATGGGGAGAACGAAGATGCGAGGAACGCCAGAATTCTTAGAGATAAACTAGCTAGAGACAGAGTAGCATTGGAGAACGAAGAGAAAAGAACAAGAGGCCCACGAGTCGGACACAATGTTTTCTACAACGAAGTACAAAAGAAACTGGTGTCACGACTATTTCTATCTTTGGGCACTGAGGGAAAGAAAAGATTCCTACAAAAGAATCCGCACGCAGAAATATCGAAAATGACGTTCAGAGAAGTAACAGAGTTGGCAGAAGTCTCGTTTCAAAAAGTGAAATGTGTAACATACGAGAGATACAAGTTATTTACGAGAATGCAAGAACCTGGAGAATCTCTGGAATCATTCCACGCAGTGTTAACTGCTCAAGCAGCCCGATCAGAACTAGGAACATTGGAAAATGAAATAGTGCGAGATTTGTTCATCTCGAAGATGAAGAACATGACATTACAGGACACGTTGACATTCGAAACCCTGGATCCAGAGGAAGTTCTAAAAAGGGCTATAAAATTCGAACATAGCAAGTTAACCACAATGGCATTTCAAAAGACTAATGCTGCGGCGGCAGGAGGATCAAGTAGCAATTACACATCGGGTGTAAGAATAAAACAGGAACCTGTAATGGCAGTTCGAAATTTGGGGGGGAAAACCAAAACTCCAAATAGAAGAGAAAATAATAACAGACAGAATAATAACAAAAATCAAAACACGAAAACAAAACCATGTAATAGATGTGGAAGGACGTTTGAACAAGGACACCTAAAAAATTGTCCAGCGATGGGAAAGGACTGTAAAAACTGTGGTAAACCAAATCATTTCGCTAAAATGTGCAGATCACAACAAGTAAGTGAAGTTGCGGAAGATTCGGAAGAATCGATAGTGGAATGCGACCAGATCAGTGAAGGTGTTGGGTCCTGTAGTGAATTTGAAGTCATGTTGATACAAACTCAACAACCGGAAAATGAACGAGTTTCAAAATATGTGGAAGATCGAATAAATGAGATGAGAAAAGAAACAAACGGAAAAGTGGTTAGAGTTCAGAAAATAGACTCTATTCGAGATCCAACATTGAACCGCGTAAAGTCACTAAAGGCTATGGTACGAATAGATAACCAGATTATTCAGCTAACAGTGGATACTGGTAGTCCTGTTTCATTTCTTAACTGGGCAACGACGAAAGAAATCATGGAAAAATCAAACAAAGTGAGATTCATACCGTCTGACAAATTGAACTTACAAACAAAATTTGTGGACTACAACAAACAACCGATCAGTATCCTGGGAGCCCTAAAAACCAATCTGAGGTCAGCGGGCTGGGAAGTTAAGGGCGCAACCTTTCTGGTATCAGAGCGAAAAACTAGATGCATCATGGGATTAGACTTGCAAGGACAAGTGGGAATAGTGACTACACAAAGAACAGCGCCAAAAGAACTCACCAGGTTTGACGTGCTCATGTGCGAGCAGTCGGAAGGTTGGAAAGAAATATTTTTAAATAAATTTAAGAACTTATTCGAAAGGCAAGGCATTTCTAAAAACCACATCGTCAGTTCAAAATTCAAATACCCACTATGTCCGATACAAGAAAAGGGGAGAAGAATCCCAATTCATATACAAAATAAAGTCGAAAAAGAAATCGAGAAGTTATTGACAGAAGGTCATATAACAAAACTTGATAAGTGTACAAGTGATTGCTTTATCGCCCCGATTGTGATAACAGTAAAGAAGGACGACTCAATAAAATTGGCAATGGACGCGAAACCAATCAATAGACAATTGTTCAAAAACAAATACCAAATGCCAAATGTAGATGAACTTATTGATGGGGTAAGCCAGATTGTAACTGAAAACAAAAAGGGTACGCTATATTTTTCGGTGTTAGATTTGAAATATGCGTACAGTCAACTAAAATTAGCTGCGGATACAGCTAGGCAATGCAACTTTAACATTGTGGGCGGAAAAGCAACCGGAACTTACAGATTCTTGACAGGATTCTACGGACTAGCAGATATGCCAGCTGAATTTCAAAAGGCTATGGATAGAACCATCAGTCACGCTAAAAACACGTTCTGTTTTCTGGATGACATACTTATTGTGTCAAAGGGAAGTGAAATCGAACATGCCAATCTAGTAGAAGCAGTATTAAAGAAATTGGATGCGGAAAACTTGGCACTGAAACTATCAAAATGTGAATTTTTCAAACAAGAAGTGAATTGGTTGGGTCATCATCTCTCAGAAGAAGGGGTTAGACCGAAGATCACTAAAACGGAAGCGGTAGTAAACTTGAACCCGCCCAAATCCCTAAAACAACTAAGGTCATTTCTAGGAAGTATAAATCATTTAGCTAAATTTATACCTAACGTTGCAAGTCTGACAGAAAAATTAAGACCACTTCTTAAAGAAGAAAATCAAAAGAAAAAGTTAAAAAACATGAAACTACCGGTGAAAAAATTCGAGTGGGGGGATGTTCACACAGAAGCATTTAATGCTATAAAAGGAGCTGTGGCGAATATTACGAAAGTACATTATTACGATGCAAATCGTGAAACACGAGTTAAATGCGATGCTAGCCATGATGGACTAGGGTCCACTTTAGAACAACAAAATGATGAAGGGTTGTGGGTCCCAATTTCGTTCGCATCCCGATACTTAAATGCGCAAGAAAAAAATATTCAACAAATGAGTTGGAATTATTGGCAGTTGTTTGGGCAGTAGATAGATATAAACACTACCTTCTGGGGAAACCATTTACCATCGCAACTGACCATAAAGCGCTTACAACAGCACTGGATGTTAATCAATCGAACAAGACCTACCAATCACGCCTAACCCGGTGGGTTGACCGGTTACTGCCGTATCAGTTCAACATAGTTCACATTCCGGGGAGGGACATGGGCATAGTTGATTATTTATCGCGTGATCCTTTCAATGATCCCTGGCCCGAATCAGAATTAGACGAAAAGTTTGTAGTAGCAACTATAAACTCTTTTCATGAAGCGTTCGACTGCTGGAGCAGTAGGCTTAAAGATTCAAGGTCGCTCAACCGGAACGAAAACGTTCTAGAATGTTCTAGAAGGAATGTTAGGAAACAGTCATCAAGTAATGGTTGCTATAGCAACCAAAACGGTCAAAACCGAACAAAGCTCGACCGGAACGAGAGAAAACAGTTTCCACGACTGCAAAAACAGCTGAACACAACAGTTCAACAGAATCAAATCACTCTTTTGCCAAATCAACCCAGCAAACAGTCAGTCTTAAATAATTGCAAAACGAAAAAACGACCAGTACCGAAAAAAATAGAAAAAACAGACTCAAGAATCGAGATGTCAGAAAATGCAAACAGAACATACGACTGGTGGTCCAGCCCACCACAAGATTGGCGGAACGAGGAGCGTGAAGAAAGCCTAATGGACCCAAAGTGGAACCGATCATTTTCCACCAATAACGAACTCTCGGGAGAGGAGGAGATCACAGAGACAGTACAACGTACGAGAAAAATTATACGAGGAGGCAGAAAAAATAGGGACAGCTCAGACAGCGAAACACGTCAAGCACAACGAGTAAAATGGTCACTGGAACCGGAACAACAACGAATAGCGGACCAAAGACTGCTCTCATTCTGGCAGCTAATAGGCGGAGAAAACAATGTTCAGGAAAATCGAGAACTGGTGGCCGATACTCAAGAAGTCAGGGACAATGTGGAAGACGAATCAAGTCCAACATCGTCAAAACCGATCGCATCGACAGAACGAAAACTCAGTGAGGTGAATGTATTAGAAGTCGACCTTACAACCACAGAAGAGGCGGAGAGTGAGGAGGAAGTATGTTCAATTCAACCGCCAAAGGGTCTAGGAAAATTAAGACTGCAAAAGCAGCAACAAGTATATCACATTGACAATAAAAAATTCAAGTTTTTGAATCGAAAACCGTAAAACTTGATACTTATAAGTCTTATAAGACAGTCGTCATTTTGTCCTTGCTTTCTTATCGATAAGGTTATTTCTTCTTCAATTTATTCTGCAAGAAATCAGTCCTACGCTTGACTAGATATCATCAAACATCTTTATCTGCAAAAACGATGCCGCCCAAAGCATTCCACTTAGCTACTATTTGACTACTGAACAACTCCAAAATGTTTCTAAAAACGCCTTACGAAGACAATAAGACAACTTCAAAACTTCAAATCCACAGCTTGCATACGTTCAATTTTATAGCTTCTCACATTCAAAACAACCTTCAGCTAAGAAAAATGTGACTTGTGTTGATTTAAAAAAATTGTATAGCAACTAAGACTTATTATTGATAATTTTACATTTTCATTTGTTAAATGTTTTGATTAAAAAAAACAGCTGCGCAAACACACCTGGCTTCCAGTTTTACATCAAAAAAGTTTCACCGTTCTCCATAATTTAGCTTTTACTTTTGCGCTATTCTTGAGATCTTGACAGTTTTGATTGTATTCAGCAAGGAGAATATTTCGCATTCTGTTTGTCTAGCTGGCAGGTAAATTTGAATTAAAAAAAAAAACTTAATATATAATAAATACATGCCACTAGACTCACAAAGCTCCAAACAGTTTATTTTAAAATATATATATATCTGAAAGCAGAAGCATATCAACTTGTATGTAATAAACGCCTTCAGTGTCTATGGCTCGTTGCACTGTTTTGCCTCTTTTTGTCTCCTTGTGGCTGGTGGTGACCCTACTTGGCAGCCCCTGTGGGGGAGTGATTCAGTCCTTCCTGTGCTCGGACGAAGTGCGGCTCACTTACACATTGGCCTACAGGTACCGTAAAGAAACAAATCTCAGTTAGGCGATTCCAGTTGGCCAAAAAAATTTTGCAAAAAAAGACTGTTTTTGGTAGGTTGTTCTACTTTAGTTAACTGTTAGAGGATTCTTCTCTGCTACTTGCACAGTTAATCGGCTACCCTTTTAAAGTTGTTTCAAAGCTTCAGTTTCTCAGAAGGGCCAGAAAAAGTCTCTCAAAAGTGATTTTCAGACAAAATGGATAAAAACAAGGCTGGTTGCCGTGCATGTAGCACAGAATTTTTAAATAGAGCTTCTAAAACCAGCTGGTTGTCGTGCAAATTGCCCAGAGTTTTTAAATAGAGCTTCTAAAACCATTTTTAAATAGAGCTTCTAAAACCAGCTGGTGGTCATGCAAATTTCCCAGAGTTTTTAAATAGAGCTTCTAAAACCAGTTTGCCTGCAGTAAAAAAACACATTTTTTACCTATTAAATGAAACTTTTCAGTCCAAAACTATTTTCGAGTCAGAAAGTTGAAAATTCGCTGGAAAATTGGCGTTTTTCGCCCTCTCAAATTAAACTAAAATTCAAAGTTTTAATACCAACTTCTATCAATTGATGAAAGATTTTCAAATATCGTTCGCATCGTGATTGAATGGGCTGTGACTTTGTAAATATATATCTATATTATATACATATATAGATATATTTATATGTATGTGTGTATAGATGATATACAACAATACTACAAAAGGTGGAATATCCATGTTGAATAGCTAGATCGTTCGTTTGAATAGTATTTGTGATTGATTTTTCCATCAAATTTTTGGGCAAAAAAAAGTATTTCAAAGATTTTTTCGAGCATTTCGTATGGCAGAGTAATGTATATAGAAAAATTATCTTAGTATCATCTACAAGTGATTGAAAATGAAAGACTATTTGATTCATAAGGGTCATTGTGAGGCCAAACTGTGCATTCTCTGCATTGTATGCGGAATCCGCAACAGGCCAACATCAGATTTGTCGCGGAATCTGCAACATTGCTACTTTTCATTGATTTTCCATTCTGTTTTGGATTCCACAAACAAAAACCTAAATCATTGTACCGCTCAAAATCGCTCGAAAAATAGGCGAATTTGCAGAATCCGCAACTGTATTTGGGGAACCCAGAACAGTTTTTGGAGTACACAAACAAATGATAAAACATTTGTATCGTTAAATTGAGCTGTTGCGGAATTCGCAAATTTTAAGTGGAATCCGCAATTTATAAGTGGAATCCGCATTTTGTTTGCGGATTCCCTTTACATATAATTATATGTGTAGTAGCCTTTAAAATTATATCTTTTAAATGCATGATTTGATTTCACTAGAATAGAAATTAACTAGAATACAAATTTACTAGATTAGATCAGTGTTTGTGATTAATGGAATCGCAATTACTGACCAGTATTTGGGATCGATGAAATCCCAAATACTGAACTAATTCGACGATTTGCTATGTGTTGGGTTTCTAATCACTCTCAACCTAATGACCCCAACTAATGGATATATTCCACATTTATTTCACATTATTCCAGTTTTTGGGATCCCATCAATCGCAAATACTGACCAGTATTTGGGATCGATGGAATCCCAAATACTGACCTAATTTGGCGATATGCTGTGTGTTGTGTTTCCATACACTCTCAAACCAATGACTACAATTACTGCATTTATTCGTCGTTATGCTTCCAAAATCAGTATTTGGGATTGACGCAATCCCAAATACTGTCCAATTGCTCGATATCCTGTGGGTTCCATGCACTCTCAACTCAGTGACTCCAAATATTGAAATTGTTTGGTCTTGTGTTTCCAAAAAACTAAAAGATGACATCCACCAATTTAGGTCACCAATATTTTAAGACTAGTTCGGGGATTCCGCTGACAATGGTTAAGTTTTTGCTTTTAAATTCCGCATTGCTAGAGATAAAATTCCAGCTCAGCTTTTAATTGTTCATATGCAAGTTCAGTACTGAACAAAATTCGGAATCCACTTACATTTGCGGATTCCGCTTACATTTTGCGGAATCCACTTACAGTTGCGGAATCCAGAACAACTAGCTATACTTACTTGTTGCGGAATCCGCAACAAAACAAATGTGCGGACAAAATTTACGTTACAGGTATATGTATGCAGAATCCACTGAAATTTTGTTTGTTGAACCCACTTACATTTTGGAACATATTTTAAGACTTGTCTCTGGAATCCAGCAACATACAGACACAAAATTGTGCTCCTATCCAGTGCATTTTTTGGCCTCGTAATGGTTCACAAATTTAATACATGCACCACTCAAATGTTTCTCAAAATATATGTTGCTTGATCAAGTCCCATACTTATTTGTAGTACATAATCTTGCGTGGAACGGAAATGTATTTTTGTTTCAGCATACCGACCTTGAAGGAATGGGGTTTGACTCTGACAGAATGTTTCGACCGCTTGTTCAAGTTTAGCCACTTCGCCCGCACCATTGTCTACTGCCCTGCACATCATTTTTGCGGAACCAACATCACAGTCAACTTCCTGAACAGTTTCCGTAAGATAAATCTAACAAACAAAGAGATTCTTCTTTAACTTTGGTTTATTCGATCCACAGAACATTGATCGAGCGCTACTAAGCTTGTCCGTTTTAAAAATTATCTTAGAATCCAGACTGAGTATTTTTGTGAGCATTTTCTTAACTAATGCCATTGTTTTGCAGTAGAAACAAGAGCTCAAAACGTCAATTTCTAATGCAAACTCCTGTCTCGAAATTGCGTTTTGAAAAAGTTTTCAGATTAATATATTAAGTTATTCTCTGATTCAAACGACTACCAAACAATTTGGTCGAACATTTTGTCAATTAATGCTCTGATGTATAGTAATATCAAAACTGCTTGTTTGAGCGTCTTAATTTGACGTCGATGAATTAATTTGGCCTTATAAATGAAACACATTCAATAGTAACTGAAAAACACAATAAATGATAAAACTTCTATATATATATTTTTTTTCTACAAACTATCCACCCACACGCTATGTAAAGCACAGAAAATTATAAGTAGAGAGTAAACTTTGTTAACAATCTGTGTTTCGACTCTATGAAAAAGCACAGGGCGGAAAAATGCTTGAAAAACGCATGATGAATTGTTAAAACTCGTCTACAGAAACAACCACTTAGCTATTGATTCCCTAACTTAAGGTATCGGAGCAATAACATCCCAATTAGAAGGGTATATTTTGAATCTAAAGCATGGATAGTAGGCTTGGCTGTTATTAATTAATCCGTCTTAAAACTAAAACGCAAATTCAAGTATAAGCTGGTAAATTTGCGCACATTAGGCAACTTATGAGTGTGTCAGCTCCTCATTTTCAATGACTTCGAAGCTGGATTATTTCAACGCCGAAGCTCCAAAGTAAAAAAAACATCGGAACTTTCCTGCAATTTAATTGTCCCAAGTTAAGCAAAATGATTTTTTTTCAAATCTCCGATTTAATCAGAAAGAAGTAAGAAAGAAGGGGAATCAACCAGAGTTTCTTTTATCTGTAATTTTTCTCTGTGGCGCACTCTCGTATCCTGTCAGATATAAAAAAAACCTGCGTCAACATCTGTAAATTTTCGGCAATTTATACAGATAATATGACAATAAAAAGATTATATAAAATAAGGTAAAAATCTTCCAGTTAATATGTTATCAAAACGTTTCTTCACAATCTCAAAAATCTGTGAACATTTTTGATGGCAAACTGACCTTAACCGGACAAACCAGTAGTTTCAAGGCCTTTTGTCTAAGAAAATCTTATTTAAGCTTTTTAACTTTCGCGCTATAATGACGTCACTAATTTAAGCGCGAACATCCTCCGCGCCCAAAGGAACAAAAACGGGTGCGAGTTTTACGGCCGGTCGAGTTAACTCCCCGGAGCGGGTGGTGACTACGGCGGATCGGGCTATATTGTGTTTTCCGTATTTAAGGGTTTTTATACGAGCCAAAGGGTAGTGTCCCCTTGGGCTGCGTTCGTCAACAATCCACACTAAATCCCCTGTTTTTAAAATAACGTCACTATCGGAGTGCCACTTACTGCGCTGGCACATAATCTCGCAGCCAACGACTCCAAATTGCGTTAGCGTAGCGTTACGCTCGGATATATTGCTTTCGATGGTCGAAGTGCTCCTGGAAAGAGAGAGAAGGGAAGCTAGTACCATTTCCGCCTAACAAAAAGGGATTAGGAGTTAACACCTCAAAACCACCCGGACTTGCACTTACTAATGTTATAGGTCGAGCGTTCATTGATTGTTCTACGAGACAGAAATTTGTTTCAAGGACTTCGGGAGTGAGCTTTCTCCTTCCTATTATTGCGTAGAACACCCTTTTACAACACCAAAGGAGACGTTCCCAAGAACCACCGTGATGCGAGGCTGCCGGGGGTTAAATTTCCACTTAATACCCTTTTTCGCCAGCTCTGGGGGTGCTTGTCCGTTCCATGACTGAATACAATTCAAGAGTACTTTCTCGGCTCCTACAAAGTTGGTGCCGTTATCGGACCAAATGACTGATGGAGTGCCGCGACGGGCAATGAGTCGTTCGATTCCCATTACAAAAGAACTCGTGTCAATGGATTAGACAATCTCAAAATGTACAGTTCTTGTGGTCATACATGTAAAAAGGAAGCACCATCGTTTTTCAGAACTCCTCATGATTGAGACGTTCACCCAGCTGCTTGTCATTAAGGACTCCGCTGAGATTCCTCTGGTTCCCGTATCAGCAGGGTTGTCTCCACTTAAGACGTGAAAACACTGGTCTATGGTCGTACTTTCAAGAATCTCTCCAATCCAGTTTGCCCCGAACGTGGGTTGCTTACTACCTGAAAATAACCACTGTAGTGTGTTTGACACAGGAATGTTTAGAGCTTTGAGGATGTCTTCCTTCAAGCCGGTAGCGATTAACGCGGCCTGCAGTTCAAGCTTTGTGTTTGAAAGCGCTTTCATGGGCGCCACTCTTGCTATTCCAAAGACGAAGGCAACTTGTGTTTCGAGTGAAGTTGTCACTCGGGCGCGAAGAAAAGCTACAGCACAAAAAAAACTTCTTCTGAGTTTTCACCGAACATGTGTAACTGAACCCAATCAAGTGGTGCGGAGAAGTAGCTGCGCTTTATACTCATCTTTCCTAGAGATGGCAAACCAGAGTGCCAGGCAAGAAATTTTGTCCTGATATCAGCGGGTAGCTCATCATCCCATTGTTGGCCATGAATGCGCCTGATTTTTTTCAACAATAATCGCGCTTTTACAGTATAGGGCGCTACGAGACCTTTGGGGCCGAAAACGGAAAAAACGAAGCTTAACACTGTTCGCTGTGTTATCGAATTTGTAAGTTCACGGTTGACACCACGGCTTACGACCAAAAAGTAGTCGTCGATATGGTCCCACTTCAGACCAAGACATCGGAGGAATTATCCCCACAAGTTACAATATTCTTACTTTCCTGTTGCGGCGCGCTTTGGGGCGGGCTTAACGTTTTATTAAATTTAGTTAGGTTTCTTATGAATTTAGATATTTTAAAACCACCTAGAGCTAACACATTAATAAACTCTTGACTCAAATTAATTGCAACATCAGGGTCCTCAAAGGAGTCTAGATAGTCGTCTATATAAAATTTCTTTAGAACTGCGGACGCTGCGTCAGGCAATTTTGCCTGATTATCCATTGCAATCCGTTGCAATGCATAATTTACACAAGTCTGCGAATCTCTCGCTCCAAAGATATGTCTGGTGTACTGGTGTACAACCACATCGGCTGTGGGGTCCTCCCGCCACATAAAACGAAGAGAAGGTTGGTCCTCTGGAAGGTCGTCGATTTGTAGGAACATCCTTTCAATGTCAGCCGATACGGCAAAATGATGTTGACGAAAACGGAAGAGAACGAGCACAAGGTTTTGCAGTAGGTGGGGTCCTACTAGCAACGATTTTTTCAGTGACGTACCGTGGAATATAGACGCTCGGTTAAGGACACGCCTCACTTTACCAGGTTTGTTTGGCCCCACGGGATGGCGAGGAAGATACTACACGCGTACGCTGCGGTTCGAAAAAATTTGGGTAGGAACTTGAATCAAGTATTCTTTACTCAAATCATCTTCGATAGTTTTTGAGTATTGATTCCTTAAGTGAGGATCTTTCGCTAAACGTTTTTCCAACGATTTTAACTGAACCAAAGAGGAATAATAATTGTCTGGTAACATGATATATTCTTCTGCCCAAAGCATACCTACAGCGTATCTTGATTCATCATGGACGGTGGAGGAATCAAGTATTTTAGCCGCCCTTTTGTCCTCGGCTGAACGGGAGTCGACCTGTTTGTAGGCTTCGTATGACTCTATTTCATACCAGCGTTTGATTTGACAAGCTAGTTCGGTATCATCCGTTTTGCACTTGAAACAAGTGGAAAGGAAACCAGTAGATGTCGGCATTGGGCCGCTCAAGAGCCATACTATTGGAAGGCGAACAGCCACGGGTGAAGTGTTTGGATTGGCCTCACTCTTGAAACAACCCTCAGGCCGAATAGCATGGAAGGAGTCGTGACCAATTATTAGGTCTACATCGGCGTAGCTATACACAGTTGGTTTGATTGGAGCAAGATACGGATACTTGCTCTGTAATGCAGGGATGTTGACGGTATCGGTACCGACGTTAAGTTCATCGTTGACAAATGCGGTTAATTCGAATATGTATTTGAGTCCATCGAATTTAGAAGATACCTTCATCTGAACTTGTTTCGTTATAACAACAGTCGTTGTGTTAATACTATTTACTGTGAGATCCAAATCTTTTCTGAAAGATCTAGACATTTGACTAATTTAGCCGATATCCAGGATTGACTAGATGTTGAGTCACGGGAAATTGGTGGAGACTTGGAGTTTGATTATGGGCAGTAACCCTTTCGATGTTATGATTGATGATTGGTCGTTCGAGATTGCGCACTTATATCCAACGGAACGGGATTAGTGTCTGCATGATTCGAACTTGCGTTTGGTATATTCTTGCTGAATGATTTTCTATCAGCGTTTGTGATCGCTTTAACCGGCTCTGCATTAGTTCTTGTTTGACTATCGTTGGGTCTTGTGTGACTATCAATTTTGTCGGGATATTGACTAGGATAAACACGTTCAGCACCACGGAGAAGTACACTAAGGGTGCTAGTGCAACCTGGTTAGGTGCATTTCTTTGCTCTGGGACATTGCTGGAATGCGCGGTTCCCTTAAAAGCAGGAGAAGCACAACTTGTTTTCCGCAGAGAATTTCGCACGTGGTATTGGGGTTTTCTCCTCAAATACAGAGCACTTCCACAAGGCATGTTTCCCCTTGCATAAAATAAGGATATTCAAATTTTTTCTCAACTGTACTTGTCGTTCAAAAACTCTCGTTACAGCTTTAGTTTTGGATGGCTCTTCGACTTTGGGCTTTCCAGGCATATTTTTCATTTGCTCATGAGCCTCGGCTTTATCTTTTAACCAATTGTTAAAGTCAATTAGGTTCGGGCGTGACCAATTACGTTTCACGACAAAAA